ATCGTATCATGGAGGTGAGCACACAATAATATGATTTTTTGTTCTTTGATGCCTGATAACTGACCCCTTCGGCACCTCGTGATCACACAGGCTGGTGTGCTTCTTCCATGTAGGCTTTGTTGCTTCCTGATCTTATAAACTGTTACATTCTTGGAAACTCACAGGGACAGTTTTACCCTGTTCTAACTCTAACAGTTTGCATCTACTCACTGGCCGTGAATGAGTGAGTGTGTGAGAGTGAGTCTACAGACGAGGGCTGTTGTTTTAAATCACCTTCTACACTGTCTTGAAGGCTTGTGGTTTGTCCAAAGAGGGGCAGAAGGTGGGCAGTAAGGAGGAATTTTACTTGGTTCTTTATTTTGTTGGTCTTTTTAGTGGTGATCCCTATGAGTTGGAATCCCTCAATGGCAGTGAGTTTTTGTCCAGACATGATCTAAACACTTTTTTTAAATCATTTTATTAGGGGCTCATACAACTCTTATCATAATCCATACATACATCAATTGCATAATACAAATTTGTACATTCATTGCCCTCACCATTCTCAAAACATTTGCTCTCCACCTAAGCCCCTGGCATCAGCTCCTCGATCTAAACACTTATGTGTATATATTTGTATGTAAAAAGAGAATTCCAAAAGTTCCTGGAAACATGAAGTAAAAGAAAATGGAATTTGTCTACAAATTTTTTGAAACCCATATATATACAGCTTTACCTCCATGTATGAAAATAAGCCATCCTCTAGGCAGCTGAAAAGCATGCCTTAATTCTGAAGTTTCAAAATGAAAAAAAAAAAAAACCACATCTGACTCTCCTTCTCAATCTGTCCTCCATGCAAAGGGTAGGAAGGAAAGGAATTGCCTGAGAGAGGCTACTTGATATAACACAGTAACACAGCTTGTCCCAGGATGGTCACCCAATGTAGAAAATGTAGTGCTGGAATTAATACCTAAAAACTCACAGCCATGGAGTTTATTGCCACCCACAGGGACCTTGTTGGACGGAGAACCTGTTTTATGACTGGGTTGTCAAGACTGTAACCTTTGATTGCCATATCTTTCTTCTGTAGTGTGGCTGGTGTGTTCAAACCACCGACCTTTTGTTCAGCATCCAAGCACTTTATCCCAGCACCACCAGGTCCTCCAAATACACTATGCAGAATTTTCATTCCACTATGTCACTGGTACCAGCAGTAAGTGATTTCTTATTAAATGTATCTTTAGTTTTAAACATAAGTTTAAAAAAATGCAAGTGCACAGAATGAATTTGAACCTTTGCTAAACAAATCCTAGAGTTAGCCTGACCTTTACAGCCTCCATTGAGGTTGGCATTGCTGGGATTGGCATATGGCTACAGAGATACAGTAAATAATGGCTATTGGCTGTTTGGTTTTTTTCTTCCAGAGACCTGTGACTAGTTTAAAAGTAATCACAGCATAAAAGCAAGTGCACATACAGATCAGTGAGCTCTTCGCCAGCTTCCCTGTTCCTGTGCTGTTGCAGCCATGAAGGTCGAGCTGTGCAGTTTCAACAGGTACAAGACTTACCTGTGACATGAGAGGAGCTACTAGGACCAATGGAAAGGTTTTCCAGTTTCTCAATGTAAATTCGTGAATTAGCTTTCTTTTCCAAGAGGAGCCCTCATCAGGTAAACCGAACAATTCTCTACAGAAGGAAGCTCAAACAGGTGCAATTGGGAGAAACTGAAAAGAAACTGCCTGGCAGCCAAATTCCAGAGGGCCATCACTGGTGCATCTCTTGCTGATATAATGTCTTACAGGAATCAAAAACCTGAAGTTAGAACAGGCCAGGGAGAACAGGCTCTCAGGGCTTCCAAGGAAGCAAGGAAGGCAAAGCAGGCATCTAAAAAGACAGCAATGGATGCTCCTCAGGCTCCCACAGAGGCAGCATCTTAGCAAAAGATGGTGAAGCCTGAGAGAGTGTCTGCTCCAAGATTGGTGGAAAACACTAGGTTGTACATGAGATTTTCTAATAAAGATGCAACTATAAATCAATAATAATAATAAAATGCAGATCAATGAAACCAAGTATTGACAGCACTAAATCTTAAAGAACGGACCGTATCTTTCTTGTCAATTTTTAGAAGCAATTTCACAGGTAAGCAAGGCTACTTTCAAATGAAGTCTACAAATATTGGTTACAGATTATGATAGTGACCCAGCCCAGGAATGTATAAAGCTAAAAATCAAGATTGAACAAAATTTTAATTTCGAGGTAATCACCAGGGTTCACTATGAGATGAACAAAACTGAATTGGGTAGGAGTTATGAAGACGTATACATGTGTAACTGGGAAGTCTGGTTGAAATTTATGAAAATAAACTGAGTAACATTTTCTAAGAATATTGAAAAAGAATGCAAGAT